CACAGAGAACAAGGTAATTCAAAATGAGAAAAGTTCTGGCCTACTGGTATTAAGTCCTAACATGCAAAGTTGAAAATGTTAAAGTCTGAAAAGATAACTTGTTGTGTTACAACAAATAACAAATTTAAGTCCTACACAAGTAATCCTATTTTTAGCAATTTGGATTTAAAGATATCAAATACTTAATATGCTCTTCCTTGTAATGAGTTAAGTGAATGACATGAAATGTAAATTTGCAAGTAGTAAAAGACTAGTGAGAAATAGGAGCAACAATCTTCTTTACCCTCTCATGAGTGCATAGAGAAGCTTGGATAGAAATGATTTTAATTCTATAAATCCAATAGCTATCCCTTCAAAGCATATTTTCCTAACATTTGCATCTCCCTGCAAAGCATATCCACCTATACCCCATAATTCAATGTGATTGACCAAATAGATTCTACCATAGCTTTCTCAAGTCTTACGGTTCACAACATATTTTAACAGTTCGCTTGGCCAGAATAAAAAATAAATTAAGTGATTAAGGTTAATCATTGTCATTTAAAAATAATTACATTCCATCCATCCTACCTAATCTTCACAAGAAAGATTTAAAGATTTATCCAAGAAGCCTGTTGATTTCACCAAACAAATGTATTGAGCAAAAGATAAATCTACAAATACTTAGGTACAATAGAAATACACCAACAAATACACATAAATACTTAGCTATGTCTCCTTTACAATGACATAAGATGACTTCAATCAGCACTCCTCCTAATTCCCTAACTCCTGCTTGAAAGAACACCTCTCCTTCAACACTTAAAAGAATTATGACTCTCAAAATCAAGAAAACCCCTTAAGTAACTAACCAACATCAATCCCCCACTAAGTAATCCAAAGAGAATCAATCAATTCAAGCATGCATTCCTCTATATATTGACACTTTACAACAGTTTCCACAATTCCCCATCATCCCTATGTGATCCCCCACATGTTCCTCAACATTTGGGGCCGAAAACTACAACAACTGCTTGTTGTCGACTAGGCACCCAGAAGCTGGCTCCTAGGCTTCAGGATTTCAGTTTATTATGGACTAAACGAACGCCTAAGCACCCAACTCTCAGGTTGTGTACTTTTAGGACTGGCGCCTAAGCGTCTAGACGCCCAATAACCAGTTTTCCTCATTTAAGCTTCATGCCTTCCCCTGCCTTCCCCACTTCAATTACTTGTTATATCTGCAAGAAAAATAGAAAAATACATTTCGTAAAGTGCAATATCAATAATAGAAATGTATTAAAATAATTCTAAATTCTAGTTAACTTTTTCATTCATCAACCACTAGTGAAGAGATTGCTTAAGACTGTAAAATGCTCTCTTTAGTAGAAACACATGATTTGGTTTATTTTTAACAATGTAGCCCAACAGTTGTTGCATATAGACTATTTTCTGAAGTTCTACGTGAACGAATGCCTTGGGCCAGCTTCGATTAGCCAAAACTGTCAAAAAAGTTCAAATGGTTGTGTGTTTGGCCACAGGATTGAAGTCTCGGTGTAGTGCAATCTGAATTCTTGTTTGTATCCTTGAGCTACTAAACACACTTTGTATTTATAAATTGTTCCATCAGGTTGACTCTTTATTTTGTATGTCCACTTGTAGCCCAAGATGGATTGATTTGATAGGGGAGGCACCAAAATCCATGTGCTCCACTTTTGGAGAGCATCAAGTTCAGTTTGCATCACCTGCTTCCAATGGTTGTGAAGGAGGGCAGTTTTGAAGATTGAAGGTTCTGATTAATGTATCTGGGCAAAAGACAAGTTAGAATATGTTTGGGCTTCAAGTGGCCAATTTTAAATCTTGTGGACATGGGGTGGGTGGACGGTATTGTTGAAGGTGGTGGAAGTGTGAGAGTGGGTTCTTGGGTATTGTTGAAAGTTGGTGAGGACGTGGGGACATTGATGAATGAGAGAGGTTGGTTATTTGGTGGTAGTGAGTTGGGGATAAGTTGGGATGGTTTAATTAAAGTTGTGGTGTTATTCGGGAGAGGTATGACAAAAAATTTGGGGCTAAATAATAAGGACATGAGAATGAGAGTAAAGTGAGTATAGGTATGAGAAGGATAGGTATTATCAGCTTTGGGTGGTATTGTTTTAAAGGGGAAACGGACTTCATTAAAATAAAGTGTAGAGCTAAAATGATTTTTCCACTTGAGGGATCTAAGCATTTGTATCCTTTGAAATTACCAGGGTAACCAAGAAAGATATAGAGATCAGATCTTTGATCTAATTTGGTTCTGTGTTGAGTTTAAAACCACGTAAAGCAAGCGCAACTGATGCTTTCAAGTGTGTATAGTCTGATGGTTGTTTCTGTAGAAGCTGATAGGGAGACAAGTTTTGAGTAATTTAAGAGGGCATCCAGTTGATGAGATTGGCCGCTGTTAAGATAGTGTCTGGAAAGAATTTTAGTGGAATATCGGAGGTGGCATCTAGGGATCTTTCTGTGTCAAGGACGTGTCTATGTTTTCTTTCAGCAAGGTCATTTTGTTGGGGTGTGCATGGGCATGAATTTTGAAAAATTATACCATTCTTGGTTAAAAATTTCTTAAGGTGATGATTGTTATATTCTACCCCTCTGTCAGAGCAGAAAATTTTGATTTTAGTGCTGAATTGAGTTTTAATTTGATTTTTGAATTGAATGAAGTGATTTTTAGTTTCAGATTTATGAATCATTGGAAACATCCATGTATAGTGAGTGACATCATCTACAAATATTACATAGAAAAGAGAAACTTGATTAGACATATATGTGGGGATGATCCCCATATATCGGAATGAATAAGTTCAAAAGGAAAATATGTATGATTGCTTGAAGAAACAATGATAGTCTAAGTTGTTTAGCTGTATTACTTGAGTTGCGGAAAGAAAAGGAAATTAAAATTGGTAGATGGGGATGTTGGTTTTCTATGAGGTGAAGAGCTTTAGTGTTTGGATGACAAAGTATGTCATTCCAGATATCGACAGAGGTGGTTTTGAAGAGAGGTGCATGCTTTTGGATAGGCAGTGGATAGAGGCCTTCACGATAAGGAATTCTTAGAAGAATTTTTTGTGTCTTGCGGTCTTAATTTGATAGCTGGAATCCTTAAAGAGGATATATAAATTGTTTTCAGTTGTGTGTTGAGATATGAAAATTAAATTGTGAGTGATTTGAGTGTGAAATATGTTAGAGAGAAAGAGCTTACGTGAGGGAGTAGAGATCAATACTTGGCCATAGTTTTGAATAGGTACACCGTTATCTTTGCCAACCATTATTTCTTCATGACCACGGTAAGTTTTAGGATTCTAAAGAACCTTGAAATCTGCGGTCAAGTGATTAGTTGCTCTTGTGTTGAGATACCACTTTTGTTAGGTGTTGGGTGAGTTGATTAGTGCCAAATGAGTTGGAGGCTGCTTGGGCTGGTAGTTAAGATTGGTTTGATGCCAACAACTAGAGGCAAGATGTCTTAGTTTAAGGCATATTTGGAAACTAATAGCATTACCAGGTGGCTCGATTTGGAGTTTCTCTCAATATAATTTTGGTTTGCATTTTTGTCCCCTGCCTCTATAGTTGGAACAACCTCTTTCCCACTACGAATACAGAGCAAGGTGTTGATCAATTGGTGCAATTTTGTCTGGTTTGTCGATAAATAGATTAATTTCCTTGACGTGGAGCAAGGAATATAGATTTTTGAGGCATATAGGAGTGAGAGAGGTTTAATTGTTGTTTTGAAGGATTGGTAAGTTGGAGGTAATCCTTCGAGAAAGTACATCATAACATCTTCTATATCAATTGACAATCCAACTGCTGCGATTTTGTTAATGAGTATCTTGATTTGAGTAAGATGCTGTGTCATTGTTTGAATGCCCTTGGCTACATTGTGAAACTCATTTTTAAGTTGGATTACTCGGGAGCTATTTGTGGCTTGAAGACGTTTTTCAAGAGCTTCTCAAATTTCATTGCAGTTGTGTAGGTAGATGATATAAGACAACACTGTTGAAGAGATGGTGGATAGGATTGCGTTGGCCAGTTTTTAATCAATGAAATTCCATGTGCTATTATTTGGGTTGGGAGAGGAATTACCAGCGCTATTAGTGATGAAAATCAAGGGTTTTGGTGTGGCACCATCCAAGAATCCACCAAATCCATTTTTTAATCACTTTTGAAATTTGAAACCTCCATAGAGGATAATTGTAAGTGGAAAATGTGGTGTTTACCACGGATCAAATGTTGGAAATAAAAAATTTCAGGGATGGCGACATTTGCAGCGTCTGGATCTTCATGGTGACTAAGCTATTGTTGAGTTCTAATGCAGTTGATTTTTCCATGGATGCAATCATGCTAATGCCCTATTACCATATGAGGTTTAAATGAGCAATGTAAGCATAAGTTGAAGAGGAATAAGAAAGGACGAGGTAGAGAAGATGAGTAGCATTCAAATTAAAAAAAAACTATAGGGTAAGTTTAGAGGATACATCATATCATTTAGGTAAAACCCTTCATATTGCTTGTTGTCAACAGCGTCAGGTATTTAAAGACAGAAATGCTGATTCTAGAGAGGACGGGTATTATAGTAATAAGCTAGACATAGGTAGTGGAGACTATATTGGTTCAGGTCTAGGTTGGTTTGTTATTAAACTCAAAATCATTTTAGTGATAATTGCATCTACATTTGTAATTTTATTGAGATATTTTTTAGATAATCTCCATCACAAATAAAAACACGACTTGACCATTGACAACAACAATAGTAATTACACTTACTGATGAATAATAATACTACAGTGAAAGATTATTTATAAATTTATATATAAAAAATTCTGATAGATTTTTTTATTTCCATCTCCATGTTAAACTCATTTGTTTTTTAACAATAGTTCTTAATTTTAATCAATCCATCAGTCTAATCCATTACCCTTTTCCTTATTCAATAAACAAGCACTGATGCCTTCCTTCAATCTCCCGCACTGCCAAATATTTTCACGCAGGCAACTACATCGTGCGTCGAGCAGTGAATCCGGTGACCAAAGTCCTCGAATACTGCCTTCAAGACATCTCCCCCGCATTCCCCCGCACCCTCAACGTCTCCTCTTCAAACAGCGGCCAAAACATTCCCAGATTCCAAATCACAGAATTTCAGATCAACAAAGACCTGCTCCACCTCTACAAATACCTCCTCATGTCCGACCAACCCCATTCCACAACCACAACATTGTTTTCCTCCGCCATACCTCTGGCCGTAAACATTCTCCTTGACACAAAACACCTCATCAAAGACTATAGTGTCAACTTCTCCCACCACGCCAATACTGATCCAGAGCACATCAGTGTAACCTGTGTGGCTCGCCTCCGCAACACCCTCTACAGAGATCTGCAGCCCAACGAAGTGATGAGAATTCCCATCAACCGGACCGTTGGAGATTTAAAGAGGGAGGTGGAGGGATACTACAGGAACACGTATTGGGGGTTAAGGAATTTTGCTGCTGATTTGGTTGTAATAGAGAATGAGAATGGGCGAGAGCTTTGTGATAAGGATTTGGTTGTTGGGTTGGTGAAGATTGATGGGGGTGTGGTGGTTGTTGAAGGGAGTAAGAATGGGGGGGATGGGGAGATTATGTTTGAGTGTGGGAAAAGAGGTAATGTGGATTGCTTGTGTGGAGCGAAGGAGGAGGATGGAGAGAGGATGGTGAGTTGTGATATATGTGAGGTTTGGCAACATTCAAGGTGCGTTAGGATTCCAGATGAGGAGGAGGTTCCAAGTGTTTTTTTCTGTGGACGATGCGAAAGCGAGATTGTGAAGCTGCCTTTAACGCAGTATTAGTTAGTTAGTTTGATTATTTAGAATATATAATAATGTTTGTTTATTTAGATTAAGTTATATATACTGTAAGACACTCAATTCTACCTTGTTTTTTTTCTTTCTTTTTTTCTTTTGCCTTTAGATGTATGGATTATTTTATGTTTTGAAACTTGCATCTTTCCTGGGAAATCTATTTATGATTTTTGAGCTAATCCTTATATGAATTTTTTTTAATCTCTCTCTCTCTCTCTCTCTCTCTCTCTCTCCCTTCCCCTCTCCTTCCCTATAAATTTTATAGATATTTATTGTTCAATCTACTAAACTCTTTTTTTGTCTTCCTCAGATTGCATTTGGTTGTGACATTAGATTTGAATCATTAGATATCACTTGAATTCAATAAATGCTATTATGATCCAACATTGTTTGGCTATTAATTTTTTGTATCTAATTAATATCACACATATAATAATAATCACATACAAACAACTAAGCAGTTATTACTTCCAAGCAATAACCAACTTAAGGCAAGAGTGTTGCGGGTGGCGGTAGGTTTGATTGAGTGGATGGCCATTATTTTGGGCTTGCGGCGTATTTGTTAGGAGTGTTTTTGATATCACAATTGGTTATCTGATATAGTGTGAAATTTTAAATTGAATTAGATTATAAAACCATACAAACCAGATAAAAAAAATAAAATCCAAATAAAAATGAACACCATTTTCTGATTGTGTGTTCGCTAAATGTTTCAATTCATAACAAATTTATGTGCATGATTGAAATCTTCGAATGCATTTTAATTGAATTTTGAATAGAATTAATTTAAGGTAGAGAGAGTGAAATGGTGCATGCCACCAAATTCTTATGTATAGGGCTATAACCGAGTTTAGTTGAGTCGAGTACGTCGTGAACTAGACTTGGCTTGGTCAAATCAAAGTTCATATTTGTTTTGAGTTTAAGCCAAGCTTTCATATATTTGTTAATACTTGGATGACTTGCTAAAATTTTTGAATGTTCATACATGTTTTGTTGTCGACTTATTTATGCTAATTGAACAAACAAAAATTAAGGAAAATTTACATAAGACACACAATTCTTTTGTATTTACATATTTCACATATAAAGTTTCATGTTTACATACATAGCAATTTGGTGTTTTAAACCTACACATGAAAGGGTGGATTTCATTTCTAAAAATGGTCATAGTGTCATTTTTGTAAATAGATAAAAGTTGTGCGCTATGCATGTAAATGTTCCAAAAATTAAATGAAATTAAAAATCCTAATTGTAGTTAATTTTTCCTTATAAAGCTAGCAAACAAGCTAAAAATTCCTATAAGCCCTTGATTTTTTTATATAAAGCTATTAACAAATATTTTTACAAATAGAATTAAATAAATTTTCAATTATTATCTAATTTATATCAAGTAATATTGTAAGTAAATTTTCTTGCCATCAAACAACATAAGAAAAATACTAACAAACTAATTTATTGAAATAAAAAAAAATTACATTAAATTTATATTCATATTGATATTAAATTATGATATATTACTACTAAATTTATAATTAAATAATTTCTAGTTAGTAAAATTTTATTTAAATAATACATTATATTAGTACATAGCATTTTAAAAGTTAATTGTTCAACAAAAAAAAATAGGTTTAATTTGAATATTACAACTTTTGAGTTTTAAGAAAATATTTAAGGTTGTTTATTTACTAATCTGAAAAAACTTCAAGTGTTAATTGATTCGAGTTCGAGTTATTCATCATGTGTGTTGGTTTATTTACAACGGGACTTAGAATTTACATATATAACTCTAAACTTTGCTTTTTTATATTATATCACCCAAATCCTTCGTGTCACTACAAAAATATATATATATATA